ACATTATCTGACCTTTTCTGCTTGACTCATACATATACTAGATATTGCAAATAAGGGAAACCATGGGACCTATGTTTCTTTGGGCCTGGCTTACTTCATTTAATATAATTTTTTCCAAGTTTTTCCATTTCCTAACAAATGGGGCAATGTCATTCTTTCTGATGGAGGCATAGAATGTGTGTTTTATTTTTAAAACTGAATGCTTAAGAGGTTACACATAAGAGTTTATTATTATTATTATTGTCATGGGGTTTGAACTCGCCTGGGCACTGTCCCTGCACTCTCAGCTCAAGGCTAGCTCTCTACCACTTGAGCCACAGCACCACTTCTGGTTTTCTGGTGGTTAATTAGAGATAAGACTCTCATGGACTTTCCTGCCTGGGCTGGCTTTGAACCGTGATTCTCAGATCTCAGCCTCCTGAGTAGCTAGGATTACGGGCATGAGTCACCAGCACCCAGCTGTAAAAAAATTTTTTAGCTGGAAATCGTGAAATAATGATCTGCATATTCAAATAAGTCTTTGAAGTCTTCTCCATAAATACTTAGGTTGATATTTCTGTCAGTCACTGTCAGCCTAAAAACCAGGCACTGGTGGCTCATACATGTTATCCTAGCTATTCAGGAGGCCAGCCTGTGCAGGAAAGTCCGTGAGACACTTATCTCCAATTAATTACCAAAAAACCAGAAATGGCACTCAGGCTCAAATGGTAGAGCACTAGCCTTGTGCCAAAGAAGCTCAAGAACAGGGCTCAGGTCCCAAGTTCAAGCCCCAGAACCAGCACACGCAAAAAAATACAAATTTTAAAAAAACATCATATGACTCACCTGACAACTCCCCACAACAAAGAACCATCTGGCCCAAAATGTCAGCCCTGCTATTGTTGAAGAAGCCTAAAGTTTGACAAAATGGGCATACAAAGCCAGAAACAGAAAAAATATTGCAGGAGGAAAAAAGTGATTTTCTAATTCCTGGTGTAGGTGGCAGGTAATTTTCTAGGTTTCAACATATATTCATCCTTCCTTAAAGGTGGATATTAGCTGTCATTTTTACAGATGAGGAAATCCAGTGCCAGTAGTTATAAGGGATGGTATTAGAAGTAAAACCACCCTCCTTCCTCTCCAGTATCATCACCTTGGTACTCGATAGCAGGGCCTTCCTTGCCTGAAAGCTCCTGCTAGTGAGCTGCATCTAATGCTTTTTTGGGGTAAAACTGTCAGATTTAGCAAAGATTGTATTAGACCTTATTCCTTCCATATTCTTCCTTATTCTTATAATGGAAATATATCTCAAGACACAAAACAGATTGCACTGAAACAAGGAAAAGCCAAAGGGAATTTGCCCCATCCTTTTATCAGCTAAAGGGCTGCCTGGAGAATGTAGCGTTGTAGACAGGGATATGCCTGTTAAGATGCATAGTTCTATAGCTTCAGCTTTAAGAGAAAAAGGAGCAAGTTGGGGGCATTGAAGAATTTAAGGGGCTTAGCACCGAGACTCATTGTTCAGAAGCAGAAGGCCAATGACATTCCCTCAGGATAGAAGGGATGAAAGAAGCAGTGATTGTTAATAGTGGAATTAAAGATGAACTGAAGGAAGCTATGCATGAAGTAGGAAGATATTTGAAGATAGTGGTCAATGACCAGAAGCACGGACACACCTCCCAAACCCACTCTGCTTCTTGCTAGGCAGTTAGGGCTGCCTTTGAGCCATCAGTTACTCCCTTCATGCTGAGTAGGACTTGGTTTCCACATAACCTTAGGACTTTGTTTCTTTGGCTGCTAACTCCAGCAGTGGCCTACTCTCACCATTCATCTTCCCTCACTTCCTCCTGTACTAAACAGTTGGGTCTTTACACAGCTGCAGTTCACTGCCTTTATGTTTATGTGGCCTTCAAGGTCTTTTTCGTTCATTGCAATCTCACCACAGTGCTCTTTCTCCAGACTGTTATCATTCAGTTATCTTGGACTCCTTCCTAGACGAGTGTTTACTGAAGTACTCAAAGGACCTCTTTACAAGGCATGGACTTTATTATGATGAAGTTCCCATTCTTGGTTTAGTTCCCTTTCCTCCTTTAGGGCAAAGACAGTGCCTTTCTATATTGACTCCACAGTAGGTAGATTGGGACCCCCCCCACACACACACCCCCAACACACACAAACACACATTCACTGGTACTCAGCAAATGGGTTGCCTAGTTTGGGACAGATTTAAGATGTGTATCTTGAGAGATTTTGGCCCTTCATTCTGGTCTAGAAAACTGCTTCATCTCTTTCCATTGACACTGCTGTATCTCAGAACACAAAGGTGATTTCCTCTTTTCTCAAACAAGTTTTCTGTTAGCACGTGAAGCTCTTAGTCCAGCTTGTCTTAGCTACTCCCCCCCCCCCCTTCCCTTGAATGGAGAGGCAGCCAGGGACAAAATGGATCTCAGGTTTTGTTTGGTTTTGCCATGTTTTCTATGCCACACTGAAAATCAATACTCCTTTGATTCTTATCTCCTCTTTTCAGAGGCTTAAAATCTACTGAGGGCCTTTCCAGGCTCCAGGCAGGCCTACTCCCTCTACACGGAGACACCACCCTAATCAGGCTGTCTCCTGTGAGTTCTCAGGTCATTCCTCTGGTTTGACAAATTGTCTTAGATAAGCATCTGCCTATTGTTTTACCCACTGGCTTCTAGTAAGACATTCACTGGCTTGGGATTGCTGTGCAGAGAGCTTGTGAACAGTGGAGCTTGCCATGGGCTTTGATCTCTCTTCCAGGGGCCAGTGGGATGACTTCAGGGTTTGGATCTTTGCCGAGAGTGATGTGTGTTTTGCTAGGCTTGTTTACCTCATGGTTAGGACCCAAGTGGCTGTACCAAAAGGGGAACCACATGTTTATCCTCTTTGTGTTTCAGGGCCTGGTTCTTATGCTGACTCCAGTGGGACTTGAATGTGCCTTTGCTTTTGTTTCCTGTGGGACTTCTGAGAAAAATCTCCCCCCTCCCTCCCCACCTGTTATTGCTCCGATTTGGTTGCCCTCAGCCCATTCCTAACTTGGTTTTCACGAATTCAGCTTCCAGGCTGACTGGAGCCCCCTCTAGGCTGGGAGTGGAGTGCCACTCTGCTCTGCCACTCTTCTGTTCCTCTCCCCACCCTAGGGAAAAATGGTGTCTGTGCCTACAGATTGCCACTGCAGTGACCTTCCCTCTGCAGCTGTGCTGGCTTCCAGTCTGACACCAGGTTGAGTCTCACCCACATCCCGTTCTTGGTTTGGTCTCTGTTCTGTACAAGTAGATCCGTGTGTGGGGTGACGCAGTTTCTTTTACTCGGAGGAGCCTTGTTGTCTTTGACTTGATTAGTGACTTCAGTGTATCTGGAGAAAGCCTCCGGGCTTTCTGGCCACTGTTTGTGGAATTGGACATTGAGGGGTCTCAGGTTGGGAGTAATGAATCTTTATGAATGGCTTGCCCAGAAAACAAATAGGGAATAATTCCAGGCAGTCTGTGTCCAATTAGGTGTCGGTCACAGCTCAGTGTTCACAGATGCTGGCATGGGTCTCTGCTTGGGTTACAATTGCCCCCCCCCCCGCCCCTTAGTCACTTCTATTTTTTTTTTGGTTGCAAAAGCAATATATATTTATTTTAGGAACCTCAGAAATTAAGTCCTTTCAGATAAGCAGAAAGCACCCACTCCCACCACCAAGGGAATGGTAACCAGAATCACCACTTGGGTCTCCAACACATATACACATAGCTGGTCATGAGCCCCTGCAACCTGCGGCCAATTGTGTGTATATGCTGATGGTGCTTTTCCTACAAGGAGGCCTGTAGCTTCCTCTGGATCCTCACAGTTAAGATCCCCAGCTCTCGCTGGTCTGTACTACTTCTTGCCTTGACCAGAACAGAGTAAAACTAAACCATGCTGGCCTGCCTTCTGTTTAAAAAGGGCTTTGGCATTAGTAGCTCATGGCTGTAATCCTTGTTACTCAGGAGGCTGAGATCTGAGGATCACTGTTCAAAGCCAGCCAGGTAGCAGTGTCCATGAGACTCTTATCTCCAATTAACGACCAAAATGCCAGAAAGTGGAAGTGTGGCTCAAGTGGTAGGGCTGTACTTGAGCACAAAAGCTCAGGGGCAGCAACCAGGTCCTGAGTTCAAGCCCCAGAACCAGCAAAAATAAAAAGAGAGCTTTAGTATTCTGAAAGGCATTTTGCAGCCCCAACAGTATGGACCCAAGTTTTCTCTTGTCATAGTGAAAGGGGGACCATGATGAGCATTTTGTTCCCCCAAAACAGCATTTGTTAATCATTTGCAGTGTACCAGTTCCTGTGCAGGAACAGGTACAGCTCCTTTTTAAAGATTGGGAGCGCAGGGAGATTCTTCAAGAGAGTGACAGCTCAGTGTGAGCTGTCACATCGGTTCTTGGTTCTGTCTTTGGTGGTGGTGATCGTCCTTCTGCATCCTGGTTAGGTTAAAATAGGGAATGCATGCTGCCAATCCAGTTCTCTGCTCAGGCCTCTGTTTAGAATGGCCATAGGTCTGTTGGCCCTTCATTCTGCCTCTCCCCGCCCCCCCACCCGCCCCACACTCCAGTGTAGACGAAAGAATGCTCTGCAGAGGATGGAGAAGAGGATGTGAACTCACACGACCCTCTTCATAAAGATTTGGTAGGGAATTCTGAGGATGGTTTAGGAGTGAATTTGTCTCATTGATAAGCCTCCATATGACCACTGGAACAGTTAATTCAGTGCTGAATTTTAGTTTGCAGAACCATCAAAGCCAGAAACTTTTTTGTCTGGTTCTCTTTGCGAAGGAACATATATGCAAGGGGGACATCTAAAAGTCTTTCCAGTGCTGCTGCCCTCCCCCCAAAATAGTTTAGGTTATTATTGCTAACCACAGTGGGGCAGGATCTTGCCAGCTCTTCTGACCAGAACCAAGACAAATCTCAGTTTAGACAGACAAAACCTGTGGACACCCTTAATCCCAGAGAGATGCTACAGCCCCAGCACCCAGTCAGCCTCAACGACATAGAGCCCTGGCGCTTGGCGTGAAACCTGCATACTCTGTCTTTCGGGAAGGGACCGTGGGAGAATGTAGACTGCAGGCTTTTTTCTGCCTATTTGGAATTTGAGCTGTTATTTGAAACTCCCTGTTCCTTATTAAATGGCTGACCTAATTTTCCCCCTTTATCTCCATAGTGGTGGAGATCCAAGAAGGGAAGACAACTATAGTAAGTATCATCGCGTTGGCCACTCATAACCTCTTTAATGCTTGGAGACGCCTGGCTTTTCTTCGGAGGAAGAGAGGGAGGCCCAATCCGGACTCCTGGCTCCAGGACCTGCTCCCTCAGTGACCATAAATCCCACAGTCTACTATTTTTCAAGCTGTGTGCTGTAGTGTGGTTAATCAGAAACAGTCTCCGTGCCTGGGCTGAGGTATCTGTTATTTGATTTAAATGACCTTTTGTATGGCAAAGTCTCAGAGGCCTTTGCTAATAAGTTCTTTGGCAGGTGTTAAATCATCTTCCCAAAGGGGAAACTAAGGCAGTATCGCAGGCCTAGAGCACCAGAGTAAGTCAAGCCAGGAGCCTGGATCTCAGTTCATTTTGTCTGGAACTACTAAGCCACTCCTGAAATGATGTATCTAAAAGGTGACACTCTAGCCCTGACTTCACTAGCCAGCACCCCACTTGTCTCTTGTTAGAAAGCTGGAACAAGTCTCTATCTGCCAAAGATCCCTTTTCCTCACTGGGCCCAATTACCTCCCTTTCTTGGGGAGTCATGAGCCCAAGATCATCCTATAATCTTTTTTTTTTTTTTTTTGGTCGGTTGTGGGGCTTGAACTCTGGGCCTGGACTTTGTCTCTCAGCTCTTCAGCTCAAGGTGAGCACTCTACCACTTGAGCTACAGCGCCATTTCCGGTTTTCTGGTGGTTTATTGGAGATAAGAGTCTCTCCGACTTTCCTGCCCAGGCTGGCTTTGAACCTCGATCCTCAGATCTCAGCCTCCTGAGTAGCTAGGATTACAGTTGTGAGCCACCATCGCCCGGCTTTCATCCTATAATCTTTAAAAGACGTTTTCACATGGCCTTCCCCATGCCTCCAAAAAACCTTCAGCCACTCCACAGAGCTCCCAGAAGCCTCTGGAACTTCTATGCCAATCAAGGACTTAACCCTTGTGGCAGCCAGCCAAGCACAGCCTTCCCCAAGGGAGTCTTATCCCTGGGGGAATCCTTCTGTCCTCCCCTAGAATATGCTTGCTTAACCCCTATTTCTTAGGGGATCCTGCTCCCTTAGGGTGCCTCTTCTGGTATACACATTCACTCTATAAACTTTATGTTGAGAGATACACATCTAACTTGGAGTCTACTATTCCTCATGCAGGACATGGTCTGCTATTGGATAGCACAACCATGGAGACTCTGTGCCTCTGGAAAATGCTATCCATGCGTGCCTCTGGGAAATGCTATCCATGCCTGAAGAGGTACAGCCATTACTGTCTTTGAACATTGCCCTCTCCTCTCTGAAAGATAGATGCCTGCCTCACCAGCTTGTGTTAAATGATTTCAGAGAACCATTGGGCCTTCTTTCACCACCGGGTCTTCTCTCAAAGCCTTCTATGTACCTGCAGATTTTCTCTAGTCCATAACTTGTTTTTGGCATGCTTCTGGCTGCCATGAAAGGTAGATAGTGGTGCCTGGCACCACTGAGTAAAACTTCCAGGCCCAGTTTGTTCAGGCACCACCCCCAGTGTTGCTTTTTTCCCAAAGCTGCTCAGACCTGTCCAGCCTTGCTCTCATCACCCACAGCCTCAGTCTGCCAGCCTTTCTAAGCTCCCCTTGAAATCGGAGCTGACTCTTGGATCACTGCTTTATCATGCTTAGCAATTCCAAGGCTACATCACAGGGTACAGCCAAGATGGGGAGATCACTTCACACATGGCCCCAGCAGGGTTTAAAGGTGGTGTGTGAAATGATCACAGCCAAGAGGAGGACCAGGAATGAATCTACCTGTTCATGTGGTTTGGTTAAAAGAGCAGCTTGTCTGTGCATCCCATCGTTCTCAGCCCCAGCCCCACTGGCATTTGGGGCTGGTAACCCTGCATTGTGGGGCTGTCTTATGCAACACAGAATGACTAGTAGCATCCTTACTAATTGCAATAGCACCCTGCCCCATCGTGATAATCAGAAATGTTCTCAGACAGGAAAATAAATCACCTGTGGCTGAGACCTCTGGGCACAAGCTTCGCTCTGAGATGAGGTAGTGCCTGCAGTCTCCAAGACAAGCCTGCCAGGAAGGAAGCTTCCTTACACTCCATCCCTGTCCATCTGGAGTTTTCTCCATGTGCCTATATTGCTTTGTCCCAGAGGCTTGGAGGACCTCGTGTTCTGGTGTTTTGTTTTGGCTTGTTGAGGAAGGAAAGATAGAGCAAACCCTTCCCTCCCTCTGCTACCAGTATTGAGATAGTTTCCACTAGCCCTGAAGGCCGCCAAACCACATCCACACCACCACCCCAAGGCTCATGGTACAGTAGCTACAGAAAACCCCACAGTGCAGGCAGAGGCCTTTTTGCTGCTACCCTCAAGGCCCCCACCGTTTGGGGTTTACTCAAGGATGCAGGGCTTCCTGCAGCCCTGTCCTTCATGCTATCTTTTTCTCTGCCTCCTAGATTGAAGGCCGTCTCACAGAGACTCCCAAGGAGAGCCCAGGTCCCCCCAATCCCTCGGGCCAGTGCCCCATCTGCCGCTGGAACCTGAAGCACAAATACAACTATGAGGTGAGTGCCAGCACAGTCACTCTGTCATGAGGTCACATCACAAGTACCTCGAGTCCTGTTCTTCCTTGGAGCTGCCGCTTTGCCTCACCAAAGAAGCCCTATATTGCTCCTGGCTGTCAAGTCTGCTGCACTTTAGAATCACTTGGTGAGTGTTAATGATCATAATGCCCCAGCTCCACCCCAGACCAACTGCCTCAGTCTCTAGGGGCGGGGCTGGCATTTTTAAGCTCTGGTGATGTTCACATGCAGCCAGGACTGAGTAAAAGCTGATTGAGTTCGTGGGCTGGCTCAGAACACCAGTGGTTGTGTTCTCAAAAGGCTAGAATCAGGTCGGGTTTAGCTCCTGAGGGTGGCTCACAGCCCCCACTGAGAGCTGTGAACACAGTACTGTCTCTCTCTGTACTGCAGCAGCCGCTTGTGGGGAAGGCGACGTTAGCAGCGGTGGTGCTGAGCGCAACGCTGCCACACTTGGCTAGTGCTAACCTGCTGTAATGCGCTGTAAGGAGCAGACACTTTGTGTCCTTGTTTTCCAGTGAGCAGATTTAAAGCCTGGAGATGCGGATGAACTTGCCTCTCATCACCAGCTACTAAGCAGCAGCTGGACTACAAATTCTGTGATAGCAAGCCAGCCCACTAGAGATGAGGAGGCCTGGAGAAACACTCCTTGTTGCTCACTCGCTCCCTGATGACATAAAATGTTCTATTTGGGGGTTTCAGGTTATTCAGGCTCTAGGCCAATTTGACCTGTAAGTTGTCCCTGTGCCCCTCTGTGGAATGGGATGACTATGGGCAGAGAGGCTGGTCAGCTGATAAGAGCAGGAGAGGCCACATGCCCATGGGATCTGAGCCGAATGACCCAACTAATCTCCTGGGCTGGGAGCCTTGGCTTCTGGCCATGGGGGGCTGGGGGGAAGCAGGGGGGGGGGAGGAGGGCGGGGTGAGACAGTACCCTGCCCTAGGCCCTCCTGTGGTAGGTGCTTGAGGGAGAAGCCCCACAATTGCCCAGCCACCATGCAGCACTCTTCCAACCAACATTTCCAGGAAATACAGTTGGCTCTGTTGTTCTTGCAGAAGAAATCTAATCCCCTCCAAGGTAAAGGCTAAAGTTGTTTTTCCTTTACCCATTTCCACTCCACTGTTGGCCTACTGCACAAAACCGCTGGCTTGCTTAGTGACCTACTACAAGGGCTGTAGCTGCAAGCCCAGTTTATTGGCCCTGGATTAATCCAATCCAAGTTCTTTTCATCCAATTCTGAGGAGTACAGGGACATGAACAGGGGCTCTGAGTCCCCATTCTGCGGTTACACAGTAAGGCTCGGAGCAAGCTGGTATGTGCAACATGACTGTTAAGTCTGGTATACCAGGCCCAGAGAGAGGCAATTTAATCCCTTCAACCATTCATGGAGGGTAGAGGGTGAGAGGGAGGAGGTCTCTTGTCTGTTTTGTTTTGTTTGGTCGTGGGGGTTGAACTCTGGGCCTGGGCACTGTCCTTTAGCTCCTTAGCTCAAGGCTACCATTATACCATTTGAGCCACAGTGCCACTTCCGGTCTTCTGAGTGGTTTATTGGAGATAGGAGTCTCACAGACGTTCCTGCCCAGGCTGGCTTTGAACCTCGATTCTCAGATCTCAGCCTCCTGAGTAGTTAGGATTACAGGCATGAGCCACCAGCACCCGGCTCTATTCTATTTATCCTTCCTCCTTGACAACCATCTTCCCCAATCCTGAGAAGTCTGTTGGGCAGGTTGTACTCCAAATGAATTGAAGTCCATTCTCATGTGGGCATGGGACTTAGCAAACAGAGTTTACACGTGCTGCCTGGCACCTCCGGAAGGACAGGAGCTGGAGGTGTAGGCACACACTCAGTGTGTGGCATGTAGGGTCTGGGGCTGGAAGGTTCACCTCTCCCTCCGGGTATGGAGAACTTCACGTGTTCCCAATCACAACCTGAAGAAAACAGCCAGACATTTTCCATCAAGACAGACCCTGCAAGCGCACAAAGAACTGATCTCTCACTTTCATTCACCATCAGGAGACTCTCCTAGAGGTGCTGAAGCCCGAGTGCAGATCCGTGTACAAGCTCTATGTGGAGGACGTGGTCTCAAGTCAGCTCCCAAGAAGGAAAGCCACGCTGTGGCTCCTCTGTGAGCTGCAGAGCCCTGGTGCCTAGCATCACACACAGGCCCAGCTGATAGCCTCCTAATTTCCGTTTCCACTAGGATGTGCTGCTGCTCAGCCAGTTCATCCGGCCTCACGGAGGCATGCTGCCCCGAACAGTCACAGGTCTGTGCCTGGAAGAGCACCGCAAGATTGAGGAGTGTGTCAAGATGGCCCACAGAGCAGGTAGAAGGGCCCTGAGCTAAGAGGGGCAGAGGACAGCAGGTGCCTCCCCATCCAGAGCCCCTCAGAATTCCTGATGTGTTCTTCCTCGCACTCAGGTCTGCTACCAAATCACAGGCCTCGGCTTCCTGAAGGATGTGTACCGAAGAACAAATTCAAACTCAACCGGTAAGCAAAACAGTACCAGCCACCTGAGCATTTGGGCCTGTGGCTCTTGCCGGATCGCTGTAGAAACCTTTTGCTGGAGCTTGTCCTAGCACTGGAATGCCGGGCATGCCTTGGCTGTCCATCCAACTCCTGTCACTCCCACTGTGGCTGTGCCATGCTGTGTTCTGCCTTCCAGCCCCCAGTTGCTTTCTTCTTCCCTCTCCTAAGAAGCACTGATACAAGAACAGGAGGGTAAGGCTGCTGATTGGGCATTAGAATATGGTAATTCCTATTTATGACATCACATAGGGTTGCTGTGGAGATGTCAGCACTTCCTTGAACTTACCTTTTTTTGGGGGGGGTGGGGGGTCCGTTGGTGGGGCCTGAACTCTGGGCCTGGGCGCTGTCCCTCAGCTCTTCAGCTCAAGGCTAGCGCTCTACCACTTGAGCCACAGCGCCACTTCCGGCTTTTCTCTTTTTGCTTATGTGGTGCTGAGGAATGGAACCCAGGGCCTCAGGCATGCAAGGCAAGCGCTCTACCACTGAGCCACCTTCCCAGCCCCACTTCCTTGAACTTTCATATTCCGGTCCTCCAGCACCAGGATTGTTAGAGCAGACATGGAGAACTTTTGGGAGATAGGGCCACCAGATAGAGCTGTGCTAGCTGTGCACTGTACCACTCAGGGGCAGCATCCATGTAGCCTAGAAGTCCTGAGGCTTTGTAGAGCAGGGAGGAAGGCCCAGAGCCTAGAATCAACCAGTCTGCTCCACCCAGAGCAGGCAGGCAGTGCGCTCTGGCGTAAGAGCAGATTCTTGTTCCTCTTCTCCCATCTTTTGCACCCCCACACTCACACCCTCTTCAATTCTCATAGGCCCTGTTCAGAGCAGAGCTGAGTCTGAAAATTGATTTGGGGGTTTCTTGTGCTCCCCTGCCAGTGCTTCCTCCCTCGGCCAGTCCAGCTGCCAGAACGGGGTAGACAGGGGGCCAAGGGATGATGAAGCAAAGCAGGACCCTCAACCCCCGCAGACCTCCCAGGCCAGGCCCTGCCAGAAACCCAGACGTGTGCCGGGGGAGGCCAGAGGGGTGGGCCAAGGGTACAAGATGTGGGAACATGGGCTGCTTCCTGGTACCTTGCCTCCCCATGCCTGCAGGCTGGGCCAGAGCTGGGCCTTCACTGACACATTCATTGCAAGCTGGGCCATCTGCCAGCAGCCCTGGGGGGCAGGACATGGTAACCACTGTGCCGTGGTCCATTTGGGGGTCAAGCCCACCCCTCTAGCTTTTAAGAGCCAGCAACAGGCCTGCGGACACCATCCATCCTACCCTCGGGCCTTTGAAGCTGGGCCAGGCCCTTCACGCATCCGGAGTCCTTTAGCGTGATACAGGATTGATGATGTGTGGGGGCTCTTGGGTTGCAAAAGGCCAGAGGGTGGTGGGGAGAAGGGGGCTGGGGGAGGGTTTGGCTCCGAACACAGTTGATTGTCCTGCAGGGGGCTCTGGTACCAGCCAGACATCCCTGAGCTGCCATGCACAGTCTGTGCTTTGTTCTGCTGCCTCCCCATCCCACAAGAGGTAGGAAGGGGCAAAGGTGTTCCCTGCGAGCTGACGAGAGGCCACCTAGCACCCCGCCGGCTGGCTGCTCTGTGTGGTACAGGCGTTAGGCCCAAGGCCAGCCGAAGAACAGCCCAGGCCATAGCTCTGGTCAGTTGGAGTCTTCTGGAGCCTTGAATCCTAACAAGCACCCATTTGGGAAGCTATCACTCCGAAGACGAGGAAAAGCCAGTAAAGAGGCCACTGGGTGATCAAGGGATCTCTGCTTTTACTCTTAGGTTCTTCCTGAGCAGCCAAACAGGGTCAGCAATTGACACCTGACACCTCCAGTGCACACTCCACTCGCAAGTGCCACCCTCCTCAGCTCCCCCTGACAGGAAGACCAGGTTCCAGGGAGCATGGTGCAAATACACAAATCATCAGTTCTTTTAACTTTTTCATCTAAAAGCTTTCTATTAATGTTATTAGTCTTTTAAATTAAGCCTTTCAAGCCAGGTGCTAGTGGCTCACACCTGTATTCCTAGCTTTTCAGGAGAATGAGATCTGAGGGTCATGGTTTGAATCTAGAAAGTCTGTGAGATTCTTACCTCCAATTAACCACCAAAAAGCCAGAAGTAGAGGGGGCTGGGAAGGTGGCTCAGTGGTAGAGCACTTACTTTGCATGCTCAAGGCCCTGGGTTCGATTCCTTAGCACCACATAAGCAAAAAGAAAAAAGCCGGAAGTGGCGCTGTGGCTCAAGTGGTAGAGCGCTAGCTTTGAGCTGAAGAGCTGAGGGACAGTGCCCAGGCCCAGAGTTCAGGCCCCATGACCGGACCAAAAAAAAAAAAGCCAGAAGTAGAGCTGTGATTTAAGTGGTAGAGCACCAGTGTTGAGCAAAAAAAGCTCAAGGACAGCACCTATGCCCTGAAAGCCCCAGTACCAGCACATACAAAAGCTTTTTATTTGAAGAGCTCTAGAGGTGGGCTGGGAAGTTGGCTCAGTGGTAGAGCGCTTGCCTTGCATGCCTGAGGCCCTGGGTTCGATTCCTCAGCACCACATAAGCAAAAAGAAAAAAGCCGGAAGTGGCGCTGTGGCTCAAGTGGTAGAGCGCTAGCTTTGAGCTGAAGAGCTGAGGGACAGCGCCCAGGCCCAGAGATCAGGCTCCACAACCGGACCCAAAAAAAAAAAAAAATCTCTAGAGGTAGCTCAGGTGAGGCCCAGCTAGAGCCGAGGGAAGATTGCTGGCCCTGGTGCTTGAGTTGTCAGGACAAAGGGTGGGCCTTTGCCCTCCAGAGCGGGGAAACCCCAATCCCAGCCGTATGAGCCACTTTGCCAAGAACTGTCAGGGCCTCGCCATCTCCGAAGGAGACTAGAAAGCTATGGTGCTACTGTTTCCCTCCACATGCAGGAAGCTTCCTGGGTCAAGGCTGAGGTCACTGGCCTGCGCCCCTCAGGTCCCACCAGAGGTTGGGTGAAGGGCAGAGGTCCTGTGCCAGTTGGAGTGTCCTGGAAAGTCCCCTGAAAGCTGGGGTGCAGAGAAAGCCAAGTGGGGAAGAGTGCAGGGTTCCTCTGTGTCCTTACGTCATTCTTACCCCGAGGCTGAGCTCAGAGAGGAGTGTGCTCGCCCCGCAGCCTCCCTGTGCCTTCTCCCCAGCACTCATAAAGATCAAGGGAGCGGGCTACGCCGCCTGACCCTGGCCACACACACTTGCAGCACAGAGCCCGGCCCCATCTGCTTCCAGGACACTCGGCAGTGACTCCCAGGAAAAGCTGCCCTTACAGAGGGAGAACTGGCAAAGGAGAGTGCTTGGCCCACGGTGGCCTGGTGTGAGGCCGCACCCTGCTCTCCCTGTCCCAGTGTGGCCCTGCCGCTCACGCTGACCTTGTGCTCCCTCCACAGCTACCTGACCCGCTGGTCTACCCGCTCTGTCAAGCCCATCTACAAAAAAGGCCACCGTTGGAACAAGGTGCGCATGCCCGTTGGCTCGCCACTCCTGAGGGACAACATCTGCTACTCAAAAAAGCCTCTGTGCCTGTACCACTAGGGCAAGGCCGCCGGGGCCTCCTGCGCCGGGCTGTGGGTAGAGGCCTCGGGCGGCAGGGCTGGCTGCAGTACCCGCAGAGTGGCTGAGTCGCTCAGCAACTGCTGTGGTCTCACGACTGACTTGGGCCCTGTTCATTTCCTCCCCCCCCCACTCCCCCCATGGGTGGAGGCGGGAATTTAACTGAAGGAACCATAAAGCAGGCTGGAAGTTTACCTGCCCTCCAGGTGTGCACTCATTGCTTGGGAAGGGGGATGGGAACTGGCACATTTCTAGCCACTACACACTGTCACTCACCTCACAGGATGGGCCACACAAATACCACGCGAGACAGGTTCCTACTCTATCGGCAGTGGTGCTTTTGCATGGGGGCTGTGAGGAGGTGGGTTGGGCTACCCAGCCCACGGGTAGCCCACATTTGTCCATCTTCATTTGTCTTCCTCAAAGGAAGGTTGGAGGTTGTCACCTCCAGCTGTTGCCAGCAGTCGTGTTCTAGTGTCCCCTGCAGTCGCACATTCCAGTTCTCCAGAGGCCAGTGCTTTGGACTGGGTTTCCTGGCCTGGTGGACCTCTCAGAGCTGGACCCCAGAGGGAGGGGGGAATGAAGAAAGGCAGAACAGGCCCTAAGTTCAATGAATTTATAACTGATTAAAATCCCCAGCCTGGCGCCATCCTACAGCATGAAGGGCAAGTCCAAGTTCTTCTCACCAGTGCCCACGTAGATGTAGCCATAGTTTTTGGTACGAGGAGCATGGTAGAAGGTGAGGCCTGGCCAGAGCAGGCTGCGTAGCACCACCAGAGCGTTGCCCCTCTCCATCTGGATGCTCCAGGACCCTGAGAGGACAGGCGGGAGGTGAGGCCTGGGGCTGTGGAGCCCCAGCTCTGCCTGCAGGGCAGAGGCCCCTGCTTTGGGCGGCCAGACCTGGTACTGAGGGTCTGGTAGAATGGGAGGCCTTTCCACCAGACCCTGTGTTTCCACCACTCTGTGCTGACTGCCTTCACCTTCCAGGAAGGTAAGGAAACTGCTCAGCAAGACAGGACTGCTCAGCACAGCTCAGTAGGGTTCCAGGCTTCTCCCCCGCCCGCCCCCCCCCCCACTCTACTCCATACCAGGGCCAGTCATGTTTCCTTCGCGTCACTAGTCCTAGTATAGTTTGCCTCCTGCTTACATAGGTTCTCTTCCCAGGTCCCAGAAGCCTCTGAGATGGATTAGACCTCCAAATAGGGGCTCCACTTCAGGCATCTGGGCTCAGTGGACCTCCTGACTGCTAGTGGACTGGGAGGGGGCTTGGGTTGCTAATTGGTGGTTGTCAGTGCTGAGTTCTGCCCCGCTTTGTACCCTCCAGGCAGCAGCGAGCCGGCCCAGGCTGAGTGCTCCAGCCATGAGGACTTGGCTGAACGCGCTTGCTCCAGCTCTAGATCCAAGGGAGGGAGCCGCTGTGTGGGAGGAAGGAGCCTGGGAAAATCGCCTCTGGATGCAGATCTGGTCTTCTATTCCCTTGTGCACTGAGGCCTCTCCCCCAAACCAGCCACAGCCCTGCTCAGGGCCCTGCCAGAAAGGCAAATGCTTTGAAGGTTTTGGTGCTGGACCAACCAGCCATGCACTGCGAGCTGCTCCCAGGCCTTCATCCACTGCCAGCTCAGCTCTGCTGCTTGGCTCCCAACACCCCAGCTTCCCACAGCCCACCTCCAGCCACAGCCCACCCTGGTCACTCCACACCCAGCAGCCTCAACTCAGTCCCCACCCACTGGGGCCACCCTGTATCTAAAAGACCTGACTGCCAGGGACAGCCTGGTGTCAGCAGAGCAGGGAGATGCCTGCCCAGGCCAAACCAGAGCTTTCTGAGAGCACAGAGGTCTGCTGACCATGGCCCGAGTTTGCCTTAGTAAAGCAGTGACTGTCAGTAAGCACCACCACCCATGAGGTAGAGCCAAAAGACGGATTTATCAACTCCCTGACCCAGGAACCTGCCACACAACATCAAGAAAAATGTAGGAGGGCTAGGCATGATGGTACATGCCTGTAATCCCAACTACTTGGGAGGCAGAGATAGGAGGATCTTGGTCCAAGGCCAGTTCAAGTGAGATTCTATCTTAAGAAAAGAAAGCCAGGCACCAGTGACTCATGCCTATAATCCTCCTCAGGAAGATGAGATCTGAGACCTGAGGATCATGGTCAAAAACATTTCAGGCAGGCAAGTCTATGAGACTTTCTTTTTAGGTTTTTTTTTTTTCTCTCCCTCTCCCTACCACTCCCCCATCCTGGGGCTTGAACTCTGGACCTGGGCGCTGTCCTTGAGCTCTTCAGCTCTAGGCTAGCGTCTACCACAGCGCCAATTCCTGTTTTCTGGCGGTTCATTGCAGGTTAGTCTCATGTACTTTCCTGCCCAGGCTGGCTTTGAAATGAGATCCTCAGGGAAGTGGTGCTGTGGCTCAAGGGGTAGAGCACTAGCCTTGAGCTGAAGAGTGCAGGGAGAGCGCCCAAGCCCAGAGTTAAGCCCCATGACCGACCCCAAAAAAAAAATTAATCCTCAGATCTCAGCCTCCTGAGTAGCTAGGATTACAGGCATGAGCCACTGGTGCCCAGCCTACGTGACTCTTCAACTACAATTAACCACCAAAAGGCTGGAAGTAGAACTGTGGCTCAAGCATTAGAACACTAGCTTTGAGCAAAAAAACAAACAATGCTCAGGCCTTGTTTAAGGACCAGCACCACATACACAATGTAGGGCATGTCTGTGCCGTGTTGCCCAGGCTCTGACAGGAGCTCTCCCGCCTTCTCTGGGCACTGGCAGGTCTGTCCAGGCTGGCCCCTTCACAGGTCAAGAGGCCTCAGCCTGTTGCTTTTAATCACATCTCCAGAAAGCATTGCCCAGGGGAGATGAGGGTGCCAGATGGCAACACAGTGTTCTCAGTGCATGGTGCGTGGCAAGCCCCAGCCCAGAAGGTACCATTCCCTAGCCGCCTCATCCCACCAGGGCCTGCCTTGCGCATCCTCTGAAACCACAGTCCTACAAGAGGCCTGGTCCCTCCCTGCCCTGGGAGACCACCACCCCTTTGAACTAAGAAAAGCCAGACTGCTCATTGCTCTCTGCCTGCCTAGACAGCCTGTAGCCCTCTGAGCAAATGCCCTGGAGAAGATAGTTCTGGAAATCCCCCATCCCAGAGAGCCCCTTATCTCACCAGATGTTGGCCCACCCAGGCCAGTGCTAGGCTAGACCCTGCCTTCCTTCACCCACCTCTTGCCTCTAGTAGGTAATGTAAGTAGGGCTCAGAAAATGCCCCCTAGGCCATCATCAGAGGCTCCCACCTGGATAGTGGGGAGACGCTGGCAGGAAGGCAAGTGAGCAATACAGCACCCCCAGCAGGGCCAGAGGGCTGTGTGGAACAGGCCCAGGGGTGCCCACTGAAGTATCAGCCTGTGAGGAGCCTGCCTCCCTCCCTTGCATTCCTGTCACACTCCTGCCTTCTCAGTTCCGGGCTCGGCTGGTCGTCTGGGAAACAGACTCTCCACGTGCCAGGAGTCACGTAGCGTCTACCTGAGCAACCAGTGCTTGCTGTCATCCTTAACCTCTTCCTTGGTGCAAATGCTGGGACGCCCAGGCCCAGCCAGCTGCCATCACCCCTCCTTAGGGACGGGGAGACGCCTCGTGTGCTCTGCTCCATAGCCCCTGCCCTCCCATCCTGCCTGCTGACCGCCACTGCTGCAGCCCCAAGCACCGAGGCCACCATGGGTACGCGTCAGGTCAGAGGGGCCATGCAAGATCAGAGGAGATGGCATCCGCTCTCCTCAGATGACAGCTCCCTAAATTGTGTCACCTTAAAAAAAAAACAGCCACCTCCTTCCCCAGCAAGGACATAAGATAGAGGCAAGCCCCTAATACCCTGGGGACAGAGGAGGAATTCGGTAACACCCCAGTGCAGCCACCAGGGCAAGATTTGCCAGCCGGCTTCCAAGGAACTTCCAAAGGAACACACACACACACACACACACACACACGATTTGCCAGCCGGCTTCCAAGGAACTTCCAAAGGAACACACACACACACACACACACACACACACACCTATAAGGCTGGTCCAGTGCCTTGCTTCCACCCCTCCCCAGGCCATTGTCTCATTCATCCTCTCCTGTCTTTCCCCTATAGCTCTGCTTTCCAGGCAGCAGGTCCCTTGCTGCCCTCTGCTGCCCAAACTGAGCATTGCTGCCGAGAGTTCTGAAGCTTGTTTCATTTCATCTTCCCAAACCTCCTTGAGAGGATGAGGTGTCTATCTTGTTCCCACACCCGCTCAGCAGCTACTCTGTGGCTTCCTGCTAACAGACCAAAAAAGTTAGGGAGCGCTAGATGGCAGAATACCATCTGAAAGTCTGGCCCCTGGCCTACTGCTCCATCCATGTCACCAGCTGCTGCCCAGCAGAGCAGATGATGTTCCCTTAGAAACACTATGCTTGCTACTGGGACACTAGTGGCTCACATCTGTAATCCTAGCTACTCAGGAGGCTGAGATCTGAGGATCACAGTTCAAAGCCAATCCAGGCAGGAAAGTCTATGAGAGTCTTATCTTCAATTAACCACCAAAAACTGGAAGTGGTGCTGTGGCTAAAAATGGTAGAGCAGTAAGTAGCCTTGAGAGTAAAAGCTCATGCCTTGAGTTCAAGCCCCATGAACAACAAAAAAAAAAGAGCTACTCCACTTGTACAGGCAGAGACAGAAGGCGGGAAATGAGGGAGAATGAAGGGAGGGTGACATTGCTCAAGACACACTGTACTCATAACCTGACTTCTTTTCTTGGCCCATCCTGGGGCTTGAACTTAGGGCCTGGGTACATTCCTGAGCCTCTTTGTATTAAGGATAGCACTCCAACACTTGAGCCACAGCTCCACTTCCATCCTTTTTGAGTAGTTTATTGGAGATAAGCGTCTCTTGGACTTTCCTGCCTGGGCTGGCTTTGAACCATGGTCCTCAGATCTCAACCTCCTGAGTAGCTAGGATTGACAGGTGTGAGCCACAGGCACACGGCTATAACCTGACTTTTCATAACAATTAAAAAATCATCTCAAGAAAACTAAAAAAGAAGTGTTTCCTCTAGGGCTGGGGGTGACTATTGTTCTGTCCTTCCCACAGTCACTTAAAAGGACACCGCATCTGCTTGACAGTTAAGTCTGGGGCCCTGAAGTCTAACTCTGATGCTTACTGTCACTACGGTGAACTCTTGGACCCTCTGGTTCTTCCCCCGCAGCTGGCTGTGGGGACTGCAGTGGGATAGGACTGCACACAGGGCCTGGCATACAGTAAACAGCATCCATGCACTAATGAGTTATTGTTAGTGTCATTGTCACCATTCTCAGAACACCAATCACGCGAGGGAAGAAGCAGGGCACTACATCGACCTGGCACCTGTCTTGGTTGCACACCTGCTCTTCTGTACTGGTAATGTTCATGGCATATAAAGGGAGTCCAGCCGGGCACTGGTGGCTCAAGCCTGTAATCCTAGCTACTCAGGAGGCTGAGATCTGAGGATCGCGGTTCAAAGCCAGCCCGGGCAGGAGAGACCGTGAGACTCCTATCTCCAATAAACCACCAGAAAACCGGAAGTGGCGCTGTGGCTCAAGTGGTAGAGCGCTCGCCTTGAGCTGAAGAGCTGAGGGACAGCGCCCAGGCCCAGAGTTCAAGTCCCACGACCGACAAAAAAAAAAAAAGGGAGTCCAGTGGCCCTGCCAAAAAAACCACTGGCCTTCAGAGCTGTAGAAGATGAAAAAAGCACTACACACACACAGCAGGAGGCAAAACATTTGGAGCTCATTCTCTTAATGGGTGGTCTGCTCACCTACACGGCCCAGCCTGTGCCCAGCATGCAGCAGAATTGCCAAACTAAAAGTTGAGACATGTGTTACATCTCTAGGACTTCCAGGGCTGCTTGGAAAAGCAAAGAGTCAAAAGTGGAGATGTGGCTCAAGTGGTAGAGCACCATCTTTGAGAATGAGAATGTATGAATGAGAGTTTGAGGCCCTGAATTCAAGCCCCAGAACTGGCATGCATGTACACACATGCTCGTATGTGCACACACAGAGGCTGCTCTGAAAACCAAGCGACACAGAGATACCACACATCTGTGAGAGCATATGCCAACAGTTCTCCCTTTTGTTACTGAAGACCATTAACCGAGCGTCTGTCACAGCAGAGCACTGGGAAAGCCCTACCCACGACAACTCCCACCAAACCCACAGTGCCATTCAGGCCCTTGGCCCCAACCCCAGAGAGAATGGCAGGAGGCATGGCCCGCTGCCCTGAGCTGAGCCTCTGAACTGTTACCTTTGGGGATGTCATACTCCAGGGAATCCAGGAAGTCCAGGGAGGGGTCCAGGTTAGCCTTCTCAAGCAAGGTCTTGTTCTTCAGGTCCACAGCCTCCCTGAAGTGGAAGTAGGAACTGAGCTTCTTGACCTCAGACATGGAGAGTCCTAGAATGAGGCAAACAGGGAGGATGGTGGGCCCAAACCCCACAGGCCTTTTCTCTCCACATTAGGATGGCAGGGAAGGACTTGGAAAGAGACTCAGAGTGCAGTGACCCCTGCTAACTGTAGCACCGGAGGAGCACCTCTGTCTCCCAGCCATTTACACCTCAGCTCGGGTATAGACACCTTCCCACCCTGGAGGGGAACCCCAGAGAATCTACCTTCAAAGGTCCGATTGACATGAGTAGACCCAAAAGGGGTCTTGAAGAGGGCACCTCGAGGAACAATGGCCACAGCCCTGTCAATCTGGTCAATGATAGACACCAAGCGGGTCTCCTCCTTGATCTGGACCTGAGGAGACAGGAGAAGAGCATTCATTCAGCCTGGCACAGGACCATGGCACTGCCACCTGTCTGAACCACCAGTGTCCAAGCACACAGACCACACCAGACAGGTCCTTACCTCGATTCCCTCCTCAATCCATGCCTTTCTTCTCTCTCTTCCTTTTCCCCTTCCCTTCCTTCTCTCCCTCCTTCCCTTCTCTTTCCTTCTTTCTCTCTCTTCCTTTCCCTCCTTTCCCTTTCCCAACCTTCCTTTTTTGTGGGCTAGTTGCCAGTCCTTGGACTTGAACTCGGGGCATATATGCTGTCCTTGAGCTTTTGTTCTCAAGGCTAGTGCTTACTGCTCTACCACTTGAGCCACAAACTCCACTTCTGGCTTTTTTTTGGGGGGGGGTGCTTAATTGGAGATGAGTTTCATGGGCTTCTTTGCTGGGGCTGGCTTCCAACTATGATCCTCAGATCTCAGTCTTCTAAGTAGCTAGAATTACCAGTGTGAGCCACTGGCACCTGGCCCTTCCTTCCTTCTGTGTGTGTGTGTGCTGGTAGTGAGGACTGAACTTAGGGCTTCACACTCCTACTTGGCTTTTTGGTTCAAGGCTGGCACACTACCACGTGGGCCGCAGCTTCACTTCCCTCGCCTTCCTTCCTGGAAATGATAATGCATACATGTGATATAATATTCAAATTATAGATGGACACTGTGGCTCACTCCTGTAATCCTAGTGACTCAGAGGCTGAGATCTCAGGATCACAGTTTGAAGCCAGCCCAGGAAGGAAAGTCCATGAGACCTTTATATCCAATTCATCAGCAAAACACTGGTAGTAGAGCTGTGACTCAGAGTGCTAGAGCACTAGTCTTGAAGTATTAGCCTTGAGCAAAAAATCTAAGGCACAGTGCTCAGGCTCTGAGTTCAAGCCCCACAACCAAAAAACAACAAAACAAAACCGCACACACACACACACACACACACACAAACTAGTGAGCTGGGCACCGGTGGCTCATGCCTATAATCCTAGCTACTCAGGAAGCTGAGATCTGAGGATTGCGGTTCAAAGCCAGCCTGGGCAGGAAAGTCCATGAGACTCTTATCTCCAATAACCACCAAAAAACCAAAGTGGTGCTGTGGTTTAAAGTGGTAGAACACTAGCCTTGAGCTGAAGAGCTCCGGGACAGTGCCCAGGCCAAGTTCAAGCCCCATAACTGACAAAAAAAAAATAGAGTAACCATTTATATAGTTTTATATCCTGATCTTGGTAGCTTAGCATTATTTCTAACATTTCCCATATTATGATCTTATTTTTTTATGCCAATCGTGGGGCTTGAACTCTGGGTCTTGGTGCTGTCCCTCACTCTTCAGCTCAAGATAAGCACTGTATCATCTGGGTGCTGGTGGCTCATGCCTGTAATCCTAGCTACTCAGGAGGCTGAGATCTGAGGGTCACAGTTCAAAGCCAGCCCAGGCAAGAAAGTCCGTGAGACTCTTATCTCCAATAAACCACTCAGAAAACCGAAGTAGTGCTGTGGCTCAAGCAGTAGAGCGCTTACCTTGAGCTGAAGAGCTAAGGGACAGTGCCCAGGCCCAGAGTTCAAGCCCCACAACTGACAAAAAAAAAGAGTCTCACAGACTTTCCTGCCAGGACTGGCTTTGAACAAGGATTCTCAGATCTCAGTCTCCTGAGCAGCTAGGATTACATGCATAAGCCATGAGTGCCCTGCTTATTATGACCTTTTTTTTTTTTTTTGATCCAGTCGTGGGGGCTGAATTCTGGGCCTGGGTGCTGTCCCTCAGCTCTTCAGCTCAAGGCTAGCGCTTTACCACTTGAGCTACAGCGCCACTTCCAGTTTTTTCTGCTTATGTGGTGCTGAGGAATCGAACCCAGGGCCTCATGCATGCGAGGCAAGCACTCTACCACTGAGTCACCTTCCCAGCCCTTATTATGACCTTTTTACACTGAAGAAATCCACTTACGGTGGACACCAAGAACACCCATGAATGAATGTCTGTGTTGGTAGGAATGTCTGGAAATAGCAGCCCTGGACAGAGACAACAGAAGCCTCAGAGAGTACCACAGAGGCGCAGTGGCGAGGTACCTAGGTACTCAGTACGCAGCCAGGCAGGAGTGGAAGTAATGGTAACAGTAATGTCCTAATTGCTCTAGGGGTAGCTTTTTGTTAGTGGTGACTGACTGATCTGGTTTGGTGCTGGGGATGGAACCGAGGGCCTCACGCGCATATAATGCCCATGCCCATGCCCTCTACCTCTGAGCCACAGCCCAATGCTAATAGGCTGACTGGGAATGGCCACTAGGGGGAGCCATTGATACACCCCATCTCCCGGACCTTCACTCACCACGACTTCTTCATCGAAAGACTTCTCGCCCTCCGTCACCTTCTGGAGCTCTGTGTGCTCATACTCATGCGAGGGGTCCCCCATGAAGCGGCCCTTCACCACATCTGTCTGTGTCACCATCTCCTCTGTGGCCGGGGGTAAGAGGCTCCATTCTGTGCAGTTCAGGCTGCAGACAACACAACACTGAGGTCACTAGATTCCAACTCCTCTCATACCAGGTTTCTTGCCACCTTCCCTCCTCATCCCTAGGATCCGACCTCCAGAGACCTTGCCTCCCTGGGGACCCTTAGGATCTGTAAGTGCGTATGGTGTGCAGCCCACCCTCCTCTGACAGAGTCGAATGCCTCTCAACTTCAATGAGGTTATATCCTGCTTGATAAGCTGACAATGCCAAGTCAGCTTTCGTCAGTGGCTCATCCTTATAATCCTAGTGATTCAGGAGGCTGAAATCTGAGGATCATGGTTGGAGTCAGCCCAGCTAGGAAAGCGTGTAAAATTCATCTCCAATTCATCACCAAAACGCTGGAAGTAAAGCTGTAGCTCAAGTTGTAGAGCACTAGCCTTGAGCAAAAAACCTAAGGGACAGCACCTAAGCTTTGAGTTCAAGCCCCAGCACTGGCACTCTCACACACAAACACACACATACACACAGAAAATCTTGTCAAATCAAAAATGCAAGGCAAGCATAGTGGTGGATGCCTGTAATTCCCAGCATTCCATGTGCTGAAGCAGGAGGATTGGGAATTAAGGGCCAACCTGAGCTCTGCAATTATTCCAAAGCCAGCCTGGGCTACAAAGTGAAACTGTCTGACATGAATAAATGAATGAAACAAAAATGCATTTTAACACACTAACAAATCTGACAGCTTAGCAACACTGGACCATCCACACCCAATGGATGTCCTCAATCCCTCTGGCCTGGGAACTGCAGTGGATCCCCAGCTGCTCTCCCTGCAGTCATACCTACTCCCCCTCACACTGGCCCACAGGTGCTACTCACTTTGGGTCTGTTCTCAAGTCTGAACTGATCAGAGAGGATTCCCTGCTCACTCTAGTTCCTGTTCTTAACACTACCTGACATGTAACGTACTTTTCGGTCTCCCTTTTCTATTATCTGACCATCAAAACACACTACAACATGAGCTCCACATGAGCTCTTGGTCTTATTTACCATTGAATTCCTGTACCTAACCTAAACCAAAGCTTAGCATATAGTAAGTGCTCAGCAAATACTTACATGGTAAGAAGAAATGAACCTCAAATCTCCCTTCGTCCATCCAAACTGTCCTTGAGACTCCAGGTCTATACTTAAAACCTCCTACTTTGCCCTCAGCACTTCACCCAACTCCGCCTCTTCCCAGGAACACTCTGGAGGGCGGAGCCAGTGCTGATTTGGCCCCACCCTCCACTCCCCTACTTAAATCTTCATCTGGTCAGTGCTGGACAGATGCAGCTTGAATGGGGTGCTTCAAGGAGTGGTTAGCTCCCACCATCACCGGACAGGAGGAGGCTAGATGCTCCCTATGGCAGACTCCAGAGAATATTCTCCAGTTTTTTGTTTGCTTTGTGCTGGTCCTGGAGCTTGAACTTAGATCCTAGGTGCTGTCCCTGGGCGTTGGCTAGTAGCGCCATTACTTGAGCCACTGCCCGACTTTTCGGCTTTTAGTGGTTAACTGGAGATAAGAGTCCCACACACTCTCCAGCCCAGGCTGGCTTCGAACAGCGATCCTCAGATCTCAGCCTCTGGAGTAGCTAGGGTGACAGGTGTGAGCCCGACCTCAAGAGTGTTTTCTACTTCCAAGAGTGTGTGCGCACACGCACGCGCGCACACACACACCACCCCCGGCCCCGCCCTCAGACCCCGCCCCGAGGT